TCTCCCCCACAAAACTCTGTATAGGACTGCAGTTTCTGGAAAACTAGTGAGCTTACATGCATGCGAGAGAGACAGATTAAGTACGCTTTTCAAGTTCAAAGTTCTGCCCCGATATCTCAAAATTTACAAAACATTACAATTATAGCAGTGATAGGAAATTATCAGTTTAATCAATTAAGCAAACTGAAGTGGTTCTTACGATCCGTAGTGTACCCGTAAGAGGTCATTCTCAGATCAGGACTTCTAGCCAGCTTTTCAGCATCGTAAAGAAAAGGAAGGCAAACATGATGATATTCTGCAGGTACGTCTTCTTGTAATTCTATTAGAGCCAAATTTTGTTTACCATGGCACTTATGATAGAAAAACTCGTCGAAGTACACTCTGAAAAATTACATTTTGAGAAAGCAGACGCTTTCGAAGTTTGTCTAGTCATTATCAGAACTAATTCGGATTTAGGTTTGCCTCGCTATATATCAAGTGCTTGTCTAAGAGATACCTGGCTATGCCAATTTTTACGCCAAGATCCTCATCATCGCAAGCGTCTTCGTCCATGGGTCGACAGCGCCCTCCAACATACGCTTGGGCAAAATCTAGGGCATCTTCTGGATAAGCCATATCTTCCTTTCTGTAATAAACATCATTTGACTTATGAAGCAGAATAGTCGCTGCGTTGATGTAAGCGAATTAATTTAGAAGCTCACTTGCATTCATCCAAGTTTTCACGCCGTGCGAAGCAATGAGCAGCCGTTAACACATGTCTCCTTGTGATGAGCGTTCCTTCACAAAAGTCTTAACATATCAAGAATGGCAGATGTATGCTATTACTAAAGCTGTTTCGCTACAGCATATTGCATGAGTCGGAGATTATACTAATACTTTTGAGTCTAGCTTTCTAGAAATCTCGGCATCTTGATGTACAATTATGTGCAGTTACTGAGCCTTATTTAACAAGATTGTTAGAGTCCTTTATTAGTTTTACGCTACAACTTTTCGCACTTGTCAGAGCCTGCAAAGCGAGGAGCAAGTGGAAAATATCCTCCAGTCCTATCACACAAAGAAAAATTCAAGTTTGCCTCCCGCATAGACAGCTCACTTTATCGCCGACTAAGTGATCAACCCTTCGGCAGATCCTACGGACTTCAAAGTTCAACCTATCATAAGCAGCGTCGGAGGTCCTACAGACAAGATTGCATGGCTGCTCAATGTCATCCCACAATTTCGCGATATTTACCTGCGCACTTGAGCAGTACTAATGTCCAGCTTAAATGGTGCAGAAAACACGATTTAGCATAACGAGCTACGCTACAAGCTGCATTCGAACTATTGAGCAATAAACAAAATACTTTTTGGGTTTTAAAGTACAGCAAATAGTGGTGCTGTTAGAAGGATGTTTGGAAGATTTTTTGCTGGTCACAGCAATATTTCAGGCAAATCAGGGGCCCTTGTAATGGGACATTTCGCACTCGCGTCAGCTATAAGCTTCTTGTCAAAAATAGAAAATTGTATTTTAGCCCGCAGTTCCACTCTTTATAGTCTCATCGATGATATTTTAAATGTATGTTCCACAACCAGAAATGGATGTTTTTTGATCAGTGAGCAATAGCTAACATAAGATTTACTAAAAAAAACTAAAGGACAGATGGCTTCCCTTCCTCAATGTTCAAATGAATTTAAACGAAGGAGAGTAAAGGACCAGCTGATACAGGAAGCCCAGTAACAAAATAATCCATATACACTACTCTTCTGCGCTATCCGAAATTTAGAGTAATTGGAAACATTCCCCGAACAGCCCGAGCAGAACAGCCCGAACAAAATCATGCATCTGATGATAAGCCAAAGGCTATGTCAGTCAAGAAGGCACTTTAAATTGTTGAAACCAAC